AAAAAAAAAAAAAAAAAAATTGTTATGCGTCTAAAATATTGATAATTGGTAGTAATATCGCGGGGCGTATCATAAAAATATAAATATAATTAGAACATATATGATTCTCGGTCTTTCAAAAAAAGGAAGATAAAATACCCCCGTATAAGTATAGCTTTTCTCGACACACACACACACACGCTCGTCAATTTAACCCTCCCCCTCCCTCTTTGTTATCTAGCCTTGACTCCGCACACAAATGTATATACGTACGAGTATATTTATATGAGCGAAGAAGAGATTTTTTGCTATCGAGCGGCAGCAAAAACGAGGACGTCGGAAAATGTGGCAGCATCGTCGTCGTCTCCTCGAGATGATGTACGCGCGCCGGTGCAGAGCTCCAAATTGGTACGCCCTCCTAGCTCCGCGTGTAATCCACAGATTTCAATGCGCGTATCACACACACACACACCTATTATACATATACTTAGGAGTACGATGATGTGATGTACATGTAGGGGGCGGGTAGGAATGGTACAGCTAAGGGTGGTGAAGGCGAAGGCTCAGGAGGCCTGAAAATGCAAGACTCTGACGGGGGAGGAGCTCGTTGCGTTTCGCCCTTCATGTACACACACACACACACACACACACACACACACACACACATACCTAGCTCTCCCATATATATGTTTGGGAGCACTACTTTTGTGATATTAAAAAGAGAAAAGAAATGAGCGAAAATTGTGAAGATTTGGAAGGAAAGTGAACAAACTGCTGATGGTACTTTTGTCCGCGCGATAGGGGTATCCGACGCGGCTCGCGTTATCGGCGCGTGTAATTGAAAATCATGAGGAAGCGAACGTCTCGGAATTCAACGGCGATCTCCCACGACTAATTTCAGTATACGTATGTAGCGCGATCGATCGGGTTTGCACAGGAGGAGACATCCAAGGGGGGTGGGGATGGAAAGTCCTCGCGCTCAATCGGCCGAAAAGGAGGGAGGGCGTGTGTTAAATTTTTGTTCGTTATCCCCGAGGACGAGACTAATACGAAACCCAAGAGAGAGAGAGAGATTCACGGGTGATGCTTTTCGCGCACTTGTTTACGTCCGTTGCTTTGTTAGCGCAATCGTACACTCGCTCGTTTAGATCTTATTTTCAAATATCTTGTTGTGCGCCCGACCATGTTGGATAAAACTTTGTGGCGGATCTATATTTACGTAAAGTTAAAAAAAAAAAAAAAAAAAAAAAAAAAAAAAATCTTACGGTTTACAAAATAGCATATACCATGATAGTCCAACTCCAACTATTATCACTATAAATGAAATTAAAATATTGATAACGAATGTATAAAATTTGGAGGACTCACAACGATGCAGATGTAAATTATTGGTTTTACGACCTCGCACTCGTGTACACGCGAGAACAAATAATCCACACATAATGAAGTAATTGTTATCATACACTATAGTTTGCATGCGAATCTTCGACACACAATAGACAGCCCTATATACCCTATGGTATTTTGGCGCGTATGGTGCTTTGGCATCCGAAGCTCGTATCGTCTTGCTTTATCAACGCAAGTGACGAGTACTTGCATTATATTTACAAACTGTTGGTCAAGTTTCACTGGGCTTTGGGATGATAAATTGTTGCCATATATACAAGGATTTAAATATTTGGTGAGACATTTGAAATTTTCTACATACGGGTAAGTTTGTATATATAGTTTGCTATTGCAGAATGTTGAATTACTGGTTCAAAAAAGTCTTTGACTATAAGTAGATACCAACTGAAAGACATTATACATTATAAACATACCTGTATCATGCGACTCTACTCTTATAGTCTAAATCAGCCTACGTATCAGTTTTCGACGTAATTTGCCGTCTTAACATTAATATGTAAATGCAAATATTATGATGGGAGTTATGGTAGATATATTACGTGATTTTCACTATCATAATCTAATGATATGATGTGCGGTGCACGCGCTTAAATATCATATTATATTGTTTAAGTTCAATACGTAAGGCATAAAATATACTAGTAGTAATATACGTATCTATGAAGAAAAAATACGTAAATCAATCTATTTAAATGACACTCTATTGTATGTACATGTACGGACATTTATATTAAACGTATCGTAATAATTATAATGTAAGGTGTATTGTATAACTACATGGCAGAAGGAAACACTGTTGTTTAGGACAAGTTGTTTTACTCTGAGCACTAACCGCTGATAGTAAATAAATATTCAAAAGCTATGGTTATAATTATACAAGCTATAAAAATAAAAACACATAAAACAAATGATGGTACAATGACCCTTTGTTTACTAGGTATATACGCAAAGGTCTATTAAATATGATAAGAATAAAATGTCATGAAAAAATACTATGTAGCTCTGTATATGAATTTACAACTCACCAAAAGAAGCAGTCACAAATTAAAATTTACAGTTGCGTTTATTTCTTACCGCAACCACCATCACCATCACCATCCGAACAGTAGTGATCTTATAATACTAAAATACATTTAAAAAGAAAATAAATAATAATGATAATGATAATAATAATTTGTACTGCGATCTTTCGTTTAAACTTATGTACAGAAGAGTGGTGTAATGTATGAGCAACGAAGGAAGAACAATGGCTCTCCTCTGTCTTTCGTGGCACCTGATGGCATTTGTGTTGTACTCACCGATTCTCTATCACGCCAACGTTTTCGAAATTGGGCGGGAAACTCGCCGTTGCCATCTCCACCCTCCGCGACGAGGGACGACGTTCGCAGACACCAAGTCACTGCAACACAAAAAAGACGGCACACTGTGCACCAACATTACTCGAGATAAGAAAAGGGTTTGCTCAAATAAACTTTGAATTTGCAATAAAAACACTAAAAAAAAAAAAAAAATTGTTATGTACCATTTTTTTCATATGTGAATTTTGTGTTTATAGGCGTTGTATGAGAACCCGCCGCACATTTTCGGCTTGACGGATGGCATGTACCGAAACATGCTGATCGACTCTGAAAGCCAGTGCGTGATAATAAGGTGAGAAAAAAAAAAAAAAATTATGTTTTGTTGATGGTAAAAAATGACTAGTGTTGTAATTGTAAATACATGATTTATTTCCAGTGGCGAATCCGGGGCAGGCAAAACAGTCGCTGCCAAGTATATAATGTCATACATAGCACGAGTCAGTGGTGGTGGCGAGGGAGTCCAGAAAGTCAAGGACGTCATACTCGAGTCTAATCCGTTGCTCGAAGCTTTTGGAAACGCCAAGACCGTAAGGAACAACAACAGTAGCAGATTTGTCAGTATATCTTTAGATACTTTTTTTTATACCTTTACATATTTGCAATACTCACGATACAAATCGGCGTTATTTTTAGGGTAAGTACGTCGAGATGCAGTTTAGCGCTGGTGGAAGGCCGAGCGGAGGAAAGGTTTCAAACTTTTTATTGGAAAAGTCGAGGGTCACGAGTCATAACCCAGGGGAGAGGAATTTTCATATTTTTTACCAATTGGTGACTGGAGCTAATTCAGAAATGAAATGTAAGTCATCTTATTCTGAAATTCTTGCCCCTTTTCATTATCAGTGCAGCTTTCATATATGTATTGTTTAAAATAGCTGAACTTGGTCTTACGGATTTAAACGACTACGACTACCTGAGGTATGGTGGAAATCACAAAGTCGATGGAACGAACGACGCTCGAGATTTTCAAGACACGTTGAAAGGTAGATTACTAACTTTTTTTTTAACTTTGTTGTTGTGATTGCAAACACGATTTTCGTGTTGACTGAATTTATTATTATTGTTATTATTTATTTTTTTCTATTTAGCGCTCAGTGTGATGGGCATTAAAAATATGGAAACTACCGACATATTGAGGCTAGTGGCTGGAATTTTGCACATAGGAAACGTACGGTTCACGGAAAAGGGAAACTATTCACAAGTTGCAGATAAGGATTGTAAGCTATTCATTTTTTATTTTTTCCAGATAAACATATTTTGATCAAAAAATTTTGTACTTTTAAGAAAACAAGCAGTATCGAACTATTTTACTTCCTTTCAGACCTCAACTTTCCAGCGTACCTCTTGGGCATCTCGCCAGAGCAGTTGTCGCACAAATTAACTTCGCGGCAATTCGAGTCGAAATGGGGTAGTCAATCTGAAAGCGTGGATGTGACGCTTAACGTCGAACAGGCGCTCTATGCCAGGGATGCTCTCGCTAAAGATCTCTACGCACGTCTTTTTGATTATTTGGTGAAGGTAACGATTTATTTTCGTATATTTTTACCATGTATGTACTTATTATATACGTATTTATGTATAATACAACAATAATAACACCTCAAATTGCCATTTGTAGATAGTTAATTCAGCCATGGTGACTACACAGGAGGATTTTGAAATTGGTATTCTGGATATATATGGATTCGAAATATTCGAGAAAAATGGCTTTGAACAGTTTTGCATCAATTTTGTTAATGAAAAATTACAACAGATATTCATCGAGCTGACTCTCAAAGCTGAACAGGTAAGTCAAATTGTCATACTAAGCAAATTACTTTTATTAGTCCGTTTTTATTGATTTTACAAATATTTATTCACGCTAAAATAATTTTCAATAATTATCAATCGCATTTATATCAAATCTTTATACTAGTATTGTTGCTTACGACTCCCCTTAATTAAGTATTGGTTAGTTGTTCGTCATATCCATTAATGGTGTATACAAAATAAATCTATGTGTAAATCACAGCTAAAATATATATTTGTTGGTCCACGTAGATGATACTTTTTTTTTTTTTTTTTTTTCAACGAGTATCAAGTTTGTACAAAAATTGTAATTCATACTTGGATATTGTGGGAAAAAAACAATAGAAAATTTCCCTGGGTGATACTTAAATTTAACAAGAAAAATCTTGACAATAATACTCATCTTAGTCATACAATACTATAAGTGTTTATCACTTCACTGTTCCAGTAAAGATAATGTATATATATANAGTTAATGATAAGTATAAAAATATGTACTCACTTACTCCGGACCTTTTTACGGCGAAAGGCTGCATTATCAAAACTATATGTATATGTATATACACACATATATATATATACATATATATATATACATATATATTTATACACGTTGCGCCAGAATGATTTAATGTGGGAAAAAGGGGTTACCAAATCGCGGAACTTTCTTGACACGTTTTTTACGATCGCCTACATGCATATATGTATATTTATAATATGCTCGGCTCTCGTGTTTATACATACATAGTATCTACCACGTATGTGCACATTGGTAATTCTCCTCTCTCTCTCTCTGTTGCCAAATATCGCTGCACTGCACCTATCCGCGTCAATGTTGCGGCATGTCCATGATTCACTCATTTATTTTGTCAAATTAAGATATGTATATATCCATATGATTAATCGGGGGAAAATTAATTACTTTCGTCCAATCGAGGTTTGCATTTAGATTGAAGTAGGCGGGGGCGCGGGGAGCGAGAAAACGAGAGCGGCACTGCTCTATTGTTTGAAAGAAACAGTTCTATGTTTTTACTTTGGCCAGATATATGTGTATATGAATAAATGTTTCGTAAGTGGATTTGTCAGTGAAGCTCGAATTTTACATAACTGAATTCTTAATCAGCCCCTCAATGATACGTACAATTGACAAAGATTTCTGAAACTTTACGATGCGGGCTTATCGAGGTGTTTATGATGTTTTATCGATGCAACGAGCGTTTTTTTACCGATTTTTCGTAAATAAAAAAAAGAAACACCATATTTAGAAGGATCAAGGTAAATATACACATGTATACATCTGCAATACGTAAGGGAGAAAAAAAAAAAAAAAAAAAGAATAATAATACCTAGCTGATACACCTACTTGTTGGGTGTATAACATCCTCATACTGCACGTATAGTATATAAAATACATATTTAATATACATATATAATAAATTGTAAAAATATGTATAGGAAATATATACAGTATGTAGGTAATATTATAAAACACAGGTTATAAATGCATGGGTGTGTTGGAGCGGCTAGTCAGTCATAATCAGTAGGTATACTTAAGTATGGTTGTAATATGGTACCTATAGTTACGGGTATATGTATATTGGTGGAACACGTTCACCGACTGCAGAGAGTGCAGAGTCAGCTGCTGTGCACTTGCACTTTTTAAGAAAACCAGTTTCCACAAAGGTGCCCAGCGCGGAGAGCAAACTCTTTCTCGCGTATATCACTCCAACAGGTATAAGTACACGTAATGCATTGCAGATATATTATATCAACTCTCTCTCTTTCTCTCTTGAATGTAGGTACCTATGGGTATACTTGTGTAGTACGTATATGTTACATATTGCATACAGTATGTACTATGTACCCTATGTGTATACACATTCAGTTAGAGGTGTAAGAGGTGGACGTGAGGGTTGGGTGAATGCGGTACCCACTTGCATGTAATACGTATACAAAGGTTATACATGTTATAAGTACCTATAGAGAGGAAAGGAACACCACACCCCCTGCATGGGTACCTATATATAATATATCTATAGCGCCATTGCTTCGTACGTATAAGGTATAGGCGAGAAAACGTGCAAAATAAGTAAGTGACGTTACTGCAGCAGCACCAGCGATATCCGAAAAAAGGTGGCCGTCTCACCGACCGCGTCGTCTGTATTGAAATTTTGGTGCTGATTTTGGTGTTTCGCGGACACGTACTACAAGTATGTATTTATATTACCTTTTTTACTTGGATTATAGACGGAGCACAAGAAAAAAAAAAAAAAAAAAAAAAAAAAAAAAAAAAAAAAAATTTATTTTTTCGGACTTCCGTGTCTTCTATAAGTACTCGATTCGATTTACTTTCGTTCGTACTTAAAACTACTCTGTAAAAAAATTTGGACAATGTGCTTAAAGCTCTATTTACAGGGGGGAAAAAAAGCACACCCAACTGCACCAATTTGGTCGAATCCACCTAGGGAGACGGTTTCGTCCTTACAAATTGAGACCGGCTCGATATTACCAATAAAGTCGTACGAATGAACGAATCAAGGCTCGACGAAACGCATCAACACGTCCGTCCGGCGAGCGGTGAATCTCTGTACGGGCGTCGTGTGGACGAGGGGCGAGGGCGAGGGTAACCTGCTCGGGGGTGCGGGTATCTGCTTCGGCAGCTCGCTCGACGTGACCATCGTGTTTTCCGTCGTCGTCGCGGACGACGTCCTCGAGTTGGCCGTACCTCCCCCGTGGATGCTCGGATCGTACTTTTTTGGCGGGCGCTTGGCCGACTTGGGCTTCCTCACCTGTAACGGAACGAGCGTTTCAGTTTACATACACACCCCATATAAACTTTCGCAAGACGTACGTACACCTAATATAACATGTGTTTGATGCAGGCGTGGTGATGATGTATATTATAGGATACGAGTCAGTTTGCTTTTGGTGACAAAAGTGAGATGCGCGTGACATGATGTTTGGGGGGGATTTTCCAGGAAGGAAAGGTTGATGCCGAAGGACATGATGTTGGAAAAAAAATGAAATCGGGTGATCATGACTCACGTCAAGCTCGCGGTAGGGCTGCGTAGCGCGGAGGGAGGCCCCAGGCTCGAGCCTGACGGCGGCGCGCGAGTCGGACCCATCCTGCCGAAAGTTGCCCGTCCGGCCGCGGAAGTTGACGTAGACCTTGGGCCGGCTGCTCTTCAGGTAGTAGAGCTTCTCGTTCCCGAGGTCCTTTCTCGGCTGGATCAGGCGGCGCTGCTGCTGTTGCCGCGACGGGTCGAACGGCTCGAAGACGCGCTGGCCGAGGCCGACGTCGCGCACGCCCAGGATCGAGCGAGGGACGACCTCGGGCTGGGGATAAGTCAGGTTGCGGGGCTCGTCCTCGGGGGTGAGCTCGAAGCGGCGCTGCTGGCCCGGGGGAGGCAGGGGTGCCTGGTAGAGGTGCCGGCGCGGGTGATTGTCGAGGACCGCCCGTACCAGACCGGGCAGGTCCAGGGACCCGACGTTGTCCCCGTCGCGCAACTCGATCTCGACGAATCTGCACGAGCAAACAGAAAAATCGGCTCAACAATTATACTCGTACATGATACACATGCGGTACCCTACATCGTATACTTATTATGCCCGTGGAATGAATTCAATCGGCATACATATACGCCTCCCCCCTTTATACCCGACTTTGCTTGCTCTCATTTTTTTTTTTTTTTTTTTTTTTTCCCCCCCTTTTTCACGTAGCAGTCGATTTCAACCAATACACGCAAGGTGCATTAATTCCGAGATACAACCCCATCATGACTTACAGGCACAGTTCACAATAATGACGACAAGTTATCACGTGTAGATATACATATATACCTGTAGTCCTGGGTATCGGGTTTTTCTACGTTGGTGCTCTGTTGTTGGTAGACGGCCTTTTCGACGTAGTCCTTGGACCTATGGTTGTCCTGGCTGTAGGCACGCGGTATGCGGTTAGGCGAGGACGGCGGCCTCGGTAGGACTACCGTAGGCAACGCAACACCGGCCAATAACAGCACTAGCAGCAACGGTAATACCCGCTGTCCCCGCATCGTTCTGTAACACCCAAAATGACAATTAAACCATCGTTACCTCGGTTCCTTGCAACGCACCGCGGACGGTATACATAGCTATTTATCATAGCATAGGTAGGTAGGTATATTACAAGTACATGGGGGTGAGGTATTGTAGTTGAAATTGAGGTGATGCGCGTATGGGCGTAAGTGTTTTCATCACACCGATATTATTTTTACGTGGCAGCCTATACATGCATATATGAAAGAAATGAAAGAAAGTCACGACAATGGGTATAGACACAATACAATATACTTGGGTAAAAAAAAATCATTAGCTGAGCTAGGAAAATTTAGTGCGTTCGGTATTTGCGAGTATATCGGTTCTAACCGCGGATGGTTTTCTCTTGGAAATTTTGCAGAGGCGCGGAAGGCCAGCTGGGGGAAGTAACGAATAAATAAATAAATAAAAAGTGAAATCGCTTGTTTGTGAGTCCATACAGATGCACTGGCTGAATTTCCATTTCCGCGGTGCATACCCATAATTATACAAACGGGTAAATGTTATAGACACACGTTGTACCTATATGTATGGAGTTACGTACCGCGCATATATGGTTGTTATCTCCCCACCATTCGGGCGAATTTGAACGTCGTGTACATGGGAAAAGCCAGCGGCGGCGCTGACCCAGTGAGCAAGTAATCCGCTTAGCTGTGGCTATTTGGGAAAAAAAAAAGCGCGCGCTCACCCGCCCAGTGAAAGTTCGCCAAGTCTCGCTCACACCGCGGTGCACCGTATAAATAAAAATACTTGTGATGTGTGTGTATATATATATATCTCTCGGGGCTATCTCTCTCTCTCTTATGCTCCTTCGAGTGATACAATTTCTCTTTATGAAGTACTCGCACTTAAGTAGGTAGGTAGGTATACCTACTTACGTAAGCCGCGAGATCGAATCGATGGAAGCGAGCGCATAATCCTCGTTTATCGTTCAAGTGGCCCTCGTTCCTCGCCTTTCTTTGCCTCTTGTTAATAGATGTATATATATATAGTACAGGTGGCTCGACAGGTTTTTCCCATTTCTTTCTTTTTTTTTTTCCATTTACTTTCAATACCTAATATTTGTTATGAGATGGTGATGCCGTCTCGATTGTACTTGCACGCGTGCGATGACAGGTCGTATTAAGTATTGTATTGGATGCCGCGAGCAAAAATTTAGTACTTTCAGGCACCGATGCCTATTCACTTGTTATACATGCATTTGTTCTCTAATTCTTCCACAGGAAAACGATTTATGAATGAAAGTTGTTCGAGATCTCGCTTTGCGCAGTTATCGTTATTTATATTTACCTAACTATACAATATAATTATGTAACGCGCGCGCGCGTGTGTGTAAAATATAGCTGATTTAGTACCACTTACCAATATAGGTATATAGGTATTAGTACTTGAGAGATTTTCGTAGGCGCGCCTGCAGTGTTATACCTATACTTGCGGTTAAAGGTAAAATTTCACTACTAGTGGTACACGGCACTCCACCTGTATTTGTTTGTTACTTTACGTAACTTTGCGTAGCATGTCTCCTCCTTGGCTTGGGTTATAGGTATTAAAACAGCTGATACGCATGGCTCTTTTAAAATATTTTATAACATGTTTAAATATGTGTGTATGAGAAAATCTACGAAAAATAATTTTTATGAAAAAAAATGTTTTCAAAGCACGTCCTTGAAACCAGACTCGATTTACTCGTTACGTCATGCACTATAAGGAAAAAATATTTAACACGAATTTCGATGAGGGTGACACCCTTTTTCTGCGATTTACGTGTTAAAATTATATCTATCATCTCCAAATACATAGATATAACGTTTACATGTGAATCGCAGAAAAACCGTGTTCAAAATTTTTTCCTCACAGTACATGGCACTACGAGTAAAATTAGCCCTATCTCGAGAGTGTGCCTCAAAAAAGTTTTTTTTTCATTAAAATGGGAGACAAAAACCGAATTAATTTTAAGTGCATACGTATAATCCCCGAACATCATCTCGTTCTGTTTTAGTACAAAGGTATTGATGATCCCATTTTGGAATCCTCGAAAATGCACTCGCCGTTAGCCGAACCGCAAGCCCAACGTGCAGATAATCCAATACTTAAATGACATGCCTGTAAATGTGCACAATTGGCCGATAGTAACAATAATAATTAAGTATAACATAATATAATACAGGTACATGCATACCTACAGATATAACGTACTTGCAGTTGCGGGCACCAATTTTTGTTGAATCGTATGTATTCAACACGCACGATGCAAAAATATTCGTGCCACCAATATGTTTTCCCCCTCTTTAAAATTATCTCGAGATTTTCTCCGTATGACTTTCCCATGTGTAACTTGTCCGCCCCTGATTTATCGACGTTTATCAGCTTAATTTCCTTCATCGATCGGGCCCATGAAATTGATTGCGAGCTGAGGAGGCAAAGGGGATGGATATAATATACTCTTTTTTTTTTTTTTTTTTTTTTTTTTTTTTTTTTTTTTTTTTTTTTTTNTAAGGATTACAAAATTAAAAAATTTTTAAAGCTTAACTTCAGGGGTGGTTTCAACCCCTTAAAAGTACATGTCAGCATATACGCAAAAAATTACGTATCTTTAATTTTTTTTTTTGTACTAAAAAATACCAAAGTATCTTTGAAATCAATAAGTTCAGGTTGGGATGGTTTTCCTTATTAATATTTCCGATAGCAAGGCTTTGTATCTAAGGACATGATGGCATAGGTCTCTGTTGCTACAATATTTTTTACACCATCACCCAACTTTATATTTTTGGCTTTGTGCATTTGTTTATTAACGTATTATGCGAAAAATATAGATTGCCTGTATTTATATATTTCAGTTCTATTTTACACACTGTACTAGTAATTTCAATTGTATATTTTTATTTTAATGGCTATCTCATTATAATTTGTCAATAGTAGTGTCATCTACATCTGATTATATGTAAACTTATTGAGTAACATACCACTTATTGGATAAGTTGGTTGGATTGTCTTGGTCTTTTTCATTTCTTTGTTTAATTTATCATAATTGTTTTTATTTGAATCTGTTGGTATTATTTGTTTAATTATTTAAGTAAAATTACACTCTTCTATCCTTTTTTTTCATCTTTGAAAACGTTTTATAGTGATTAAATAGCTTACTAGTTGCGTTTGAACCATTTCATAAGAAATTACTGAATTAGTTTCCTTTAGGGCTTTTTACGGAAGGAAAAACATTTGGAATTCAAAAAATGATTATTTGATTTGTTAAATGACAAGTTGATTAAGTACAATTATTGGGTATTCACCTTTTTATGAGCTTAAAATAAATGAATTAGCTGTTCAATTTTACAGAAGTTGATCAAAGTAAATAAATGTAAAGTAAGTCTCACTATTACTTTAATTGTGAATTTCACAATTTATTGATTGCACTAACCGGCGTGCAGGTGACTGCAAATATTTCCTATTCTCTTGTACGAAAAATAACAAATTTGTTTTAGATAATGTTGCGTAGACCCATAAAATAAGTCACACGGATGGGCATTTTACGGTTTGGTCACAAAATTATCAAAACGGAATTGATGGAACTGAGAAAATCGGGTCGTACAATTTTTCAAAAGTAGGAGAAAGATACTTGCGACAGTAGGTGCGCAGGGCGCAAAATAGTACATTATGTACCTAGGGTGGTAAAAAAAAAATTTTCTATATCTCAAGTCTTGCCGAAGCCAATGGTAGAAAACATGCGATCTGAACATTAACTTCATTTCGGTCTGTGGTGCATGTACTATTTTCAGCCTATTATTACAATAAATAGTAGTTTGAGTAAGTTCTTATGAGACTGGGCAAAGGAGCAAAATACAATCCAAGGGGAAAAAAAAAAAATTATAACTGTATACTACAGAAAAACACTTGTTCATGCAGAACAATTCATAATCCGCGTATTGCATATAATATATCATGGATGACGCTGTCAGCGCTTCTGTTGCGCCTTTTACCCGATATTACATTGTGGTTGTGGTATGCTCAATACACCCTGTGTATGAAATAGGCCCAGACGTATCATATAAGTATAAGATATACAGTGGCGATGGAAATACTGCAAGTAGCCGCTCGGGATTACCTACCAAAGTCGAGGGCCCTGCACGTATACACACACACGCTCATCGTTATTCCTTTATGCTTCGATCCGTATGAGCTCACTGTATTGCATATGTATATATATATATGTGTGTATATACATATACATATAGTTTTGATAATGCAGCCTTTCGCCGTAAAAAGGTCCGGAGTAAGTGAGTACATATTTTTATACTTATCATTAACTACCGAAAATGTCTTGGGACACCGTAGCGCACGCGGTGTGAGAGATAATTATGTTGCCTGCGTTTTGTTTGAATCCTCGGCCTAAAAAATACGTGCCAAATTTTCGATTTGGAAAAAAAAAAAATCAAATTATTGAAGTATACATGTGCGCCTTTTATTAAAAACAATCAAGTGTCGCGTTCTATTGTAAAATGTGATGAAAAAAATAATATACACATATGCAATTATTATCTTGCCGAAGAAATAAAGCTACGTATGGAAAAAACTAATTCCAAGATACGGTGTCATTGTTTGTATGAACTTGGAAAGGAAGTTGTTGAGAAAAAGCCTTGCGCGCAACAACAGAAGCGGTAAAAGCCGCACAAGGAAAAGTAAAAAAAGTCCCCTATGCATATAAGACTCTGTAGTTGATTAATTACTATTAACAGTGATTGTGTATAGGTATAATGTAAATACGTACCCATGAATAAGTCGCGGCGCGAGAGATGAAAGAAAGCATCAGTGTTGTTTTGGCGCGATGAGCTTACTTTTTCTTTCATCGCAAGCAAGTACACACAATCACCAGCGACGGCAGCGACAATCGCAACGCGGAGAGAAATTCGACGGGAGTCGAGTACTTACTTGCTCGTGGCTGTGAAATAATGGAGAGGACACAATCGTCGGGAAGCGGAATATCGGGA